TTTCTGTACTATTTATTTCTGTACTATTTATTTCTGTACTATTTATTTCTGTAATATTTATTTATGTACTTTTTATTTATGTACTATTTATTTCTGTACTATTTATTTCTGTACTATTTATTTCTGTACTATTTATTTCTGTACTATTTATTTCTGTACTATTTATTTCTGTACTATTTATTTCTGTACTATTTATTTCTGTACTATTTATTTCTGTACTATTTATTTTTGTACTATTTATTTCTGTACTATTTATTTCTGTACTATTTATTTCTGTACTATTTATTTCTGTACTATTTTTGTACTATTTGTGTATTATGTTCACTATTTGTGTACTATATAAATTCTTTGTGTACTTTATGTGAAGAGTACGTTTTCAAAACTTAACCTATAATACTGAACTATTATTTTAACAAATCTGATTATTTCCCATGTAAAATTAAAAGTTAAAAACAACTACTGCATCAAAGCTGGCTAACTTATATCAAGGACTAGCCACTAGCTATTCATTTTCTTTTTAGCATATTTTTTTAATAAAAGGCTCATAGGTTTTTCGTTAGTTCTGAAATATCACATAACATAGTTTTAGAAAATGTTGACATCGCAATCCTCATGTGTACTGTTTTGTACTATCTGGCAGAGCTGGGTAATTACATGTACTTTAAAAATAATTACAATTTTAAAGTACTTTTTAAAAAAGGAATTAATTACAAGTACAAAGCACATGTTGTAAAAATAGGAATTATATTGATTTAATTACAATTACATGAAAAAAGGAATTATCAATTACTTTTTCAATTACTCTGCGGATAAAACAACAAATTATGGTAGAATTGAGGAGCCATTAACCAAAAAGATTGCCAGATGTGCTACAAAAAAAGAACCGGACATCCGGACAACCACATACCAAAAAAAACTTAAAAAACTTATATATTTGATTAAAAAATATAATAACATGACGTCAGATCCAGAACACAAAAATCATACATCATACAAAAAAACAACAACAAAGTTAGACAACTTTTTAACATATTTGGCATTAGATGCCACTGCTTTTAACAAGTATATGTTGGCTGATATGGTATCTTTGAATTCAGTGCAACTGCTATTGATGTTAAAGAAAACGCAAAGTTCGCTTTTCACACTTTCTAGAGACGATAAATATCCTTTCAACAAAGGCATTGGATATAGGAATACTGCAAACATATTGGACTATTTTGAGCAAATTTGGTGCTGCTTCATTCCTGAAAAATGTACACCACATATCAACTGTTTTTCCTTCAAGCGCAGGAAGAAGTTTGTAATGCAGCCAGTTTTTCATACATGTTTTCAGGTGGGGGTTTCTGTTTCCAAGGATAAATTAACTATAAATCAGTCAGTTGATCCAGCGTAGGCAATATTCCAGTTTCTAGGTCTAAACAACTGAAGTCTTGAAATTATTATTCTCAAGGGGATATCACTTCTATTTATAAGCCAGAGCTCTTTGGTAAACATTTAGAACATTTTTCGTTAATTGTTTTAATTAATTAATTAATTTATTTAAATTCTATCAATAACATTTTTAATTTTTTTCAACCTGGTATGCAACAGAAAAACCGGACTGTCGGGTCGAAAACCGGACATCTGGCAACCCTATTAACCAACCGGACCGGTAAAAATAAAATTTTTAAATAGGTAATTCAAGTGTTCAACCCGAGAATATATTATTCTCGGGTTCAACTATAACAGCAGTTTGCAGTGACTTTCTTAATTATTTCTTAAAGTTAGATATCTTAAGAGCGGGTTGTATAAAGCTTATTTAAAGTTAAACTCGGTTTGAGGGGACATATGACAAATTTTGTTTGGCACAGGTACAGTCTAAACACCTATAAGCACTTACGGCTTGTTTCCCCAAAACCTAAAACTGAGCTTAACTTTAAGTAAGCCTTATGCAACCAGCCCTAAGCGTATTGTGTTCTATACAATTTAAAGTCTTCTTAAGGAAAAAGTCAAAATTCATAACAAGTAACAAGTAGTGTTAACAATGGAACAGGAAAGTTAATAATAAAATGTGAGCTTTTTAAAGTTTATTGATTCGGAACAAAAATACAAAATTCGCGTACTTAAGCTTAGGTATTTTTATATTATTATCATACCGTACAAATCGCGCATCATTAGTCTGAGGCCGTTTAATCAACCCCTTAAAAATTCGAGAGACGCTAAAATGGTGGTTCCCACCTTATCGAGACTGAGGCCCACAAGGGTAAACGTAGCGTAACAAAAACGAAAAATGATTTAACTTGGAACTATATACCGAAAGCCGATAGTAGTATTAGCACGTTGAATTTTTTGGTTTGTGAAGCATTTGCATTACTTAGGTTAAACCATGTGATGATATTCACAAGCCTTGATTTTTAAAACCATTCTATATCGCCTTTTGATTAGGGTTTAAAAACTTGTTGGAGCAATTTATCCAATAATAATTGGCCGCTTTACCTCTTAAGCCTGCTCATGTAAAATATTTAGGCTTCTTACTTCGCCTATTTATATTCTATTAATAAAAGACAGAAGGATGAGTATTGCAACTATGTTAAAAGAAATAAATTGGCTTTCAGTTCAGAATTATGTTCAGTTTATGACTGATATTTATTTATAAAATAAATATGACAGTACCATTGCATCAGATCTATTAGAAAAAATTCAATATAATTCGCAATATCACAACTATAATACAAGAAACCAATCTGACTTTACTAAAAGTTCCCAAAATACAATTTTTATTAAAGGTTTAAAAAATTTAATAGACTGCCTACAGAAATTAAAAAAAAAAAAAAACAATAAATGTATTCAAAAGTAACCTCAAACAATACTTGATAAATAAACAGAACGGATATACTTTCTTGTGATAATACTCTTTAAACCTGCCCTTTTTAAGTATTTCCCTTAATTTATTGTTATTTTACTCCTCGTTTTATCCGCATTTATTATAGATTATTTGTTTTGAGATCATGTACTTTATTTTAAAAAATTACTTGATGTTACATTAATACTACTTACTATGTTTAAATTATTTATAGTTTTCCGAAGATAGGTTATAGCAACTTATAGCCACAAAACTATTTTTTTGTGTTAAAGTAGATCCATAGAGAGCAATGTTAATGAAAAACAAAATACCTCGGTATCATAATTGATCCACATTTGAAATGGGCGTTATATCCTACCTCTCTTTTATATAATAAAAAAGTGCTTTGTATAAGAACATTATATTATATATCTTGCTGTACCTTTATTTATGGAAAGCCTGAATTGAGATATTTATTATTTGCAATAAATATCAAAAGAAGTATACATTTTTAAATAATTTGACATTTAAGAGCCATTCACATATCACAGTTGACATCTTGATACTTGACAGGCACAGCCAAGCATTATTTTTATTTTTGCCAAATAAAATGGCCGGTTAATTAATGGGGTTGCGACAGAGAACCAGTAAATTTGATGAAGGTGTATGGTTGCAAGTATGAAGGTCGCAACCCGCCTTAGAAATTTCACTTTTACTATCAACAGCTGTTGTTTGACAGGTCGTTAGAGAATGTTTACAATTTACGGAATGTAAAGAATGTTAGGAATTTTGACGTTAGAAATAATTGGAATTCCTAAAATTGTCACATAAGGAATGCATAGGCGGATTTTAAGAAAATTTTTATTAAAGTAGTTAGGATGAACCGAAAATTCTGAAAATCAATAGGGGTTCTAAGTTAGAAGTAATAATTCAAGAGAAACAAAACCGCAAGTCAATCAGAACTTTCGTTCTAGAGTTATCGTGCCGGCATACATACACACAGACGGCCAGACTAAAAATTTTTTTTTGATTTTCGGACTGATCAGAAACATGAAAAAGAGTTTTAAAAAATGGGGTCAGAAAATTTTTTCGTCTGCACGAATGCAATACTGAAGCCCCATAGGAAGGGCCTCAGTAACTTCTGTACACATCACTTTAAACTATATTTCCTGTTTATAATATTTATGTAACCTAAATTATGTTTATCATAATATAAATGCAAAATACGTCTTAAAATAAAGGTATCTACATATACTTCTTACTGTTATTATTTTGGGTTCAACAATTTCACTACTTCAATGAGGCTCTTTCCACGACTCAGCGTTTTCGTCCAATGCATTCAAACAAATGAGATGGATGCGAGTCCGAGCTCTAGTGACCCTTTCGAACAGAAAATTCTTTTTATACCACGTATATATCGTAAACACGTATTTAAAAGTAATTGTAATTAGAAAATGTAATAATTTAAGTAATATAATTACGAAGTACAATTTTCCTGCACAGATTTTGCTTCAATTACAATTCCAAATTACTTTAAAAAAAGTACTTAAATATAATTACAAATTACGTAAAGAAAAAAGTAATTGTAATTATTAATTACTTTTTAATCAGGAGTCACCCAGCTCTGCTATCTGGTACTGAGTGTGTATAATTACCTTTTGGCAGGCGTTGGCGGCCTAGAGAAAAATTGATCAAGTAATTGGGGTTATCAACTTAATTTGAAAATTGGCGCGACCTTTTTTTTATTAGCTTATTAATTTAATTTTTATCTGTTCCTGTACAATTTGTGTATTGTTTCAGTAATATTTGTATACTCTGTATTTACGAACTATTTCTGTACTATTCGGGCACAATGTGTACTAGTGTACAAAATTTTTCCAGGGTTTCCTCGACTTTTTATTACAATCTTAGATAAACATTTTTCTACAACTTAAATAGGACAGTCATATTATTACTATTTTTATTTTCAAACACTTTTAAATAAATCAGTTTAAAACAAAATCTGCCACAATCAATTCTGCCAACTCTGACCATGATTATGTAATTATTTTAAACGGCAATATCTGGTTAAAACGTCCAAAAGAAATATTTTTTAAATTATCTCTTTAAAAATTTAAAAATAAAATACATTAAACTTTAACCCATGAATTATCGGAATTTATGTAGTAAAATATTTATTATGATAAGAAATATACTCAACAAACTCTTACGACGAGTCAGTCGTTCTAAAGAATACATTTTAAATCGTTCCAAAATTCATAAAGTTAATGTTGAATTATTAGAACACAAGATGAAAGAATTTATAATTTATATAATCATTTTTCATGGTGAGTTTGAAGTATACGACATATATTTTATGTTTTAAATTACACTATTTTATGTTCTGTTTTATGTAAAGTTATTTGTGGACTTGTCTACTGCGGAAGTAAGAACTCAGTTGATGTAAATCCAGTATGCTATTCAAAATGTAAGTAATTATGTTGTCGTAGTTTTTTAAATAACTTGTGAATCTGCAAGTCTTATATTTTTAAATTTGATGTCTAAGAACTTTAATTATTTTAGGCATATTCTTATTGTGTCAAGATTTTGCAAATCCAACAATAGATCGAGTTCCAAATAATAATATAGACATAGAAAAAATTATTCCTAAATTTGCTGAAAGTGCAGAAAAAATTTTAAAACATTTGTTAAGCCAGATTGACGATTCGTCAAGGATAACAAATGCCATTCTGGAAGGAAATCCCGAAGTATTTGTGAAAGAAGTAAAAAGAAAATTATTGTTATCCAAATTGGAAGAAGGTAGAAAACAATTGTTCAAAGCTTTTAATAAAAAGTTAAAGTAATAAAATACTTTTTCCGCCTACCTCTATCCAAAGTATACATTTCCTGACCTCATTGCAGGGAGCAAAGTCATACTTTTCCTCCCTAGGGAAAAGTGACGTCATGGTATGTCATAAATGAAATAGCTTATACGGCATTGACGACCTAAACTATATTCTATTATATAAGTATGAATTTTACCGTTTATTTATATAACACCCTGTATTTTGCAAAATAGTAAAAATCAGTAAATTGTTATTTTAATTTAACGATTTTTACATTAATAATTTGACTTCAATTCATAGATTCATCCGATTTTCGAATTTAGGACAGAAATATTATAGCATGCTATGGTCGATTGACAGATCAGTTTTAAAGTGTGTTACGCTATAATATATCTACAAAATATAAAATAATATTTAAAAAATGAGTGATTCAAGCGAATTTAAAGATATAAATAATACACCACCAGATATTTTGGAACAGGTTAATGCAACAGTTCAATCTCTATTACCCCAAAAATCTAAAGAAAAATACGAAAAACAGTATTTACATTTCAAGCAATGGGCCGAAGAAAAGCATATTCGTACTTACTTAGAAAAATAATTACTCTACCACAAATTAAAAATATGTAGGATGCAAGAATGAAAATAACATGCCTATAATTTATACTATACCTACTTCATAATTTTAGTTCTTTAATAAATTTTGTTTATTAGTTTCATAAATAAATTATTTAAAAATGACTTGTTATTTAAGGGAAGCGGAAAAATCATATGTATTACTTGGGAGTAAAGTGCCTTTTCCTCCCTTGGATGTTTACTGCCCTCCGCTTCGCGTCGGGCAGTAAACTTCATCCTGCGGGAGTGGCACTTTCCTCCCTAGTAATACAAATAGCTATTTTTTGTTTATTAAGAGGTACCTCGTTATTGAATCGTTGTTTTGATTTTACAGGCAATTACAATCTGAATACTTCATTTAGCCATATCGTTAGGATCTAGAAAAAAATTTAAGAACTAAATTCAACATTTATGTTAATAGGACATATTTTTATGATAAACATAAACTCAATTTTTGTCCTCAAAATTTTGTACTACTAAAACAAGTATACTTTTATGATATTCCGTAAACTTGTATTATACATAGCTAAAAGGATAACCCTCCTTATCAGTCTGCTCTCACTTATTAGTTACTTTCAACTTGACGACAACATTAGTATCGGAAGTGCACAGTATTCATTAACAATACCTGTCAGCAGTGGCGGCTTGTAATAATTTAAAATGGGTGTTCACTTTTTCCAATAATTTTATTATTTGTAAGTTCGGATCAAAACTTTGTACAAAAGTCAATATCGCTGTTTTTTATTATATGAGTTTGTATTAAGTGTAGTTAATATTATCAACATCATACTGTTTTTAAGCATTACAACTATTAATAAATGAATATTTTAGTTAGTGTAATATTTAGTTAGTAAACTGACCTTTCTTTAAAATTTGAGATTATTTTTATATATATCAGGTTATGTATAAAGCTTGACATTGATTTTTGTGTAAACAATTTTATATGAAACTTTACCTACCATTTTTTAGTTTTTATTGTAAGTTTAATCATTTTCACAATTTGTCACAGATGTCAAATAAAAAATATATTTTTTAAATACCTTTTATTGGCAAATAAAATAAGAACTAAATATTTTAAATGTTTATTATACAAGATCAGGCCCATCACAATACATAATATTACACATACACAAACTAGAATAAAGATATATAATGCCTGGCATTCTAAATGATACTCTTCGCAGTTTAACAGACCCTCTTAACCAGATTGTTTTCACAATCAATAGGCCTCATCTCCTTATAGAGCTTGATTTTTACTAAAAATTTCATGTTGATATCGCTTTTCATTTTTAATTTTTTTTTTTTAATTTTAACCTCCCTTAAATCCCCCATATTTAATCAGATTATTTTTTATAATTAATGGGCTTCTTCTTCTTTTAGAGATTGATGTTTGCTAAAAATTTCAATTTTATATCATTTTTCGTTTTTCAGTTAGGATTTTTTTTTATATTTTAACCCCCCTTAACTCCCCAATATATTCATATTTTTTTCAGTATCAGTAGGCTTTATCTTCTTATAAAGCCTCATTTTTACTAAAAATTTCATGTTGATATCGCTTTTTTTTTAATTTAGGATTTTTTTTTAATTTTAACCCTATTTTTAATTAGATTTGTTAAAAATCAATAGGCTTTGTCCCCTTATAGAGCTTGATTTTTGTTTAAAATTTTCAAGTTGATATCATTTCTCTTTTTTGACTTATCGTGCAGACAAAAAACGTGACATCGGACAGACAGACAGACAAAGTAAACCTATAATACTCTTCAAAGAATACTGTACGAAGAGTAGAAAAAAATAAGGTAAAATAAACAATTTAAAAAGGTCAACAATAATATTCAACTTCTTTTATTAAAGGATACTAAAAGTTTGAAATAGCAGCACATAATTGAATATTTACAGAAATCTGTGAACTAAACTTGTGAGATACACATCGTAAAATGTTACTACACTTAATTATCCATATGACCCTTTCTAAGTGTATTTCACAGCACATTCCAAAGTATTCTTGTTCTCGCTCTGTCCTACCATCATGGCAGAATTTTGCATGTCCATGTTCACTAAAAAATAATATGTTTTAATAAATAACAGAATAATAGTATTTTGTCTAAATAGGTAAATCGGCTTCATCTGTATTTTCAAATTATTGTTTAATTGTAGATAGTATATTAATGTTTTGATATAGGATTGATTAGCCAGAGCATGTAGACATGTGGGATGTGACTTGTTAAGTGCCTAATCAAAATTACAATTTATGTTTGATACTTATTGCTTTTTTCGAGACATACTTTATTACCAACTGTAAACTTATTTTATCAACAGCCATATTTTTATTTAATACTTGCAGTGATCCAAATTATCATAACATCTAAGATTTTTGAAAATACTAAATTATACAAACAAGGCAATAAAAAAATGTCATTAAAATAAAAGATTTCTGGTTTGTATGCAACAAACGATCTAGGTTAAAGGGTAACACGATTGATAATTACAGGCAAACATAACTTTATATAGGTAAACTATTTAAATGTACATACCATTTCTTAGGTAAAATTTCTCATCGAGTATATTAAATTAACTGGTTGATCCATTTTTTCGATTCAGACTTTTAAAGTGAAAAATCATTTGTCTCTTCATCTTTATCAAATTTTTATTGTACATTTCCATTTCCATAATGATGTCAAGTAGTTACTTCATCAGAATAATTAAATTTTTCCTTTTAGTGGATTTTGTGGGAAAAAAATTTACAAATTTTTTCCTTACTTTTACTTCATAGTATTTACAACTGGGTACAAAATAGACTATTTTGAAGTAGTCTTTGGATGGTCTTAGACACTGAAACAAAATGTAAAACAAATTACAGCCGTAAAACTTTATTATAGGTAAATAAAACAACATAACCTTTAAATTTTTTATTTACCTTGCCTTAAGAGGTTTTTCGGGAACAATCGTTAAATTGACACACATCCTTCCAATTTATTAAAGTTGCAGTTCTCAATTAAACAATTTTTTTAAATGATCACAAATAAAATAATCTTAATTTTATTAAAAGCGAAGGAATGACAGTTTGATTTGGTACAGTGTTGCCAGAATATGTTTTTGTTATGTACCAGATTTGTCTAAAAAATGTACCAGATTCCTTAAATGTATCAGATTTTTCGAATTCTATTTGCAGTGACATCTAATTCATTGAAGGGGAAAAAGGGGGTCTTTATTGATAACGAACCCAAACAAGGAACACAATATATATATATTTTACACGTGAACACTGATGCAGGCAGAATGTACTACATTTAGTAAAATTGTGAATTGTACTAGACTGGCAACACTGGTTTGGCAACCTTGTTTGTGAGCGGAGCGCCAATTAATGTGTTCTTTAACAGTTTGAAGGATCTGTTGGCGTGTTGTCTTATCTTTTTAGCTATATGTATTCGCCAAATCGTCTCACTCGTGTTAGGCTCACTCATCATAATGCGCCACAGACACGGTATACTTAGGTATATTGTGCCACAGAGACGCGATCAGCCAGAGAGCAATGATGTACCAAAAAATATAGATGAACACGTATGAAAATAAAAATATTGAATTTAAATTTATATTTTTATGTTATTTATGTAATTTTAAAATAATGTGTTTTCATGAAATTGAACTGGGTGCTCACTGCACAAATGAACCAATGGAGAAACCGCCCCTGCCTGTCAGCATCGTAGATTTGGTTGAATTATCAACATGTTCGTTATATTTAATTCCAATATGGGCTTTTACCCAAATAAAGCAAATATATACATTTTTAATAAATAACTCAATTTTTTTTCTGATTTGGAAAATAAAGGAGCCGAGATTATTATTAGACAGTCAATAAAAATTATGTTTATCATGTTTTCTAATCAAAATTACTAAAAAAGTTTCTTCAAATTTCATTATCGGGAATAGCACATGTGGCGCCCCCTGTAATAAAATGTTAAATAATAAATAAAATGCCTTTGTGCCAATTTTGATAACGATTTATTAATATGTTTTGAAATTATTACAAAAAATGAAAAATAGTTCATCTTAAACACCAATTCTTATATTTTGGTACAAATGACCTGAGTTTACTTTGTTTTCAATAGCTATGTTTCACCCTGTATGTTTACAATTATATTTATCTGTAAAAAATATAACACCTGGTATAATTTCAGAGACAATACTAAGTTTTGAGAAGTAACAAATAGTTTGAAGCACTGTCATTGGTAAAAGTAGTAAAATAAAACACACATAATTTACAGAAAAATATTTATTATGTTCCATAATTAAATCTATTTTACATAAAT